GCATGTTTCCACATGTGTGGGTTTTTTAAAAATATTTATTTATTTATTTATCTTTAGATGGGAAGGAGAGGGAGAGAGAAACATCAGTGTATGGTTGCCTCTAGTGCATCCCCTGCTGGGGACTGGCCTGCAGGGAACTGGCTTGCAACCCAGGCATGTGCCCTGACTGGGAATTGAACCACGATCCTTTGGTTCGCAGACCTGCACTCTACCCACTGAGCTACACCAGCCAGAGTTCGCATGTGTGGTTTATCCATTCATCAGTCAGTGGATATTTGAGTTGTTTCTACCTTTTGGCTGTTGTGTATAGTGTTGTTACGAATGTTTGTGTACAAGTTTTTGCTTTCAATACTTTTGGGTACAGACCCAGGAGTGGAATTGTGGGGTCATACGGTAATTTGGTATTTAACTTTTTGAGGACCTGCCAAAGTGTTTTCCACAGTGGCTGCACCACTTGACATCCATACCAGCAATATACAAGAGTTCCAGTTTTTCCATATCCTTATCAGTGCTTGCTAGTTTCCATTTTTTAAATTATAACCATCCGCCCTGGCTGGCGTGGCTCAGTGGATTGAGTGCCAGACTGCAAACCCAAAGGTCGCTGGTTCCATCCCCAGTCAGGGCACATGCCTGGGTTGTGGGCCAGGTCACCAGTTGGGGGTGTGCAAGAGGCAGTCAACTGGTGTATCTCTCACATGTGGATGTTTCTCTCCCTCTCTTTCTCCCTTCCTTTCCTTCTCTCTAAAAATAAATAAAGTCTTTAAAAATAAAAACAAGACTTCCGGCCAAGATGGAGGCGTGGGTAGACATACTGGGCCTCCTCACTGGCATAACCAAAAGAAGACAACAACAATGTAGAAACAAAATAACAACCAGAACTGAGAGAAAATCGAACTGTATGGAAGTCCGACAACCAAGGAGTTAAAGAAGAAACATTCTTCCAGACCAGTAGGAGGGGCAGAGTCAGGCAGCTCACAGCAAAGCTGCTGGCAGACTAGGGTGCACAAGGCGGCGGCGGCGGGCAGACCCAGCTAGGCGGCCGATTGTGGACTGGGGCGCGGTGTGCAAGGCTGCAGCTGGCCAGCAAGGCAGCAGGGGGCGGACCAGGCAGTCCCACATTCATGTGCAGATAAACCAGGTGAAACTGGGGAGCAGGACTGCACAACCTAGGGTCCCAGAGCAGGGAAATAAAGCCTCAAACTACCAATTGAAAACACCTGTGGGAGTTAAGGTGCCAGGAGAGACTGCCAGCCTCACAGGAGAGTTGATTGGAGAGACCCACAGGGTTCTAGAATGTACACAAGCCCACCCACCCAGGAATCAGCACCAGAAGGGCGCAGTTTGCTTGGGGGAAGCAGGAGAAGGGACTGAAATATAAGAACAGAGCAAGCACCATTGTTTCCTCTGGGACCCCTCCCCCACACACTGCATCACAACCCAGATGTGGGTTGCCCTGCCCTGGTGAACACCTAAGGCTCTGCCCCTCACTGCATAACGGGCACAACAAGACAAAAAAAAAAAATGGCCCAAACAGAAGAACAGATCAAAGTTCCAGAACAAATACAACTAAGCTACAAAGAGATAGCCAACCTATCAGAGATGCACAGTTCAAAACACTGGTGATCAGGATGCTCACAGAATTGGTTGGTCGTAAATTAGATGAAAAAAATGAAGGCTACACTAAGTGAAATGAAGGAAAATGCACAGGGAACCGATAGTGATGGGAAGGAAACTGGGACTCAAATCAATGAAGTGTGCCAGAAGGAAGAAAGAAACAACCAAATAGAAAAGAATGAAAAAACAAGTATTTGAAAAAATGAGGAGAGGCTTAAGACCTCCAGGACATCCTTAAACATTCCAACATCTGAATTATAGGGGTACCAGAAGGGGACAGGAAAGAGCAATAAGTGGAAAAGTTATTTGAACAAATAATAAAGGAGAATTTCCCAAATCTAAGCAAAAGAAACAGAATTCCAGGAAATCCAGGAAGCTCAGAGAGTCCCAAAGAAGGTGGACCCAAGAAGGAACACACCAAGGCATATCATCATTACATCAGCCAAGATTCAAATGAAGGAGAGAATCCTAGAAGCAGCAAGAGATAAGGAGACAGTCATCTACAAAGGAGTTCCCATCAGACTGTCAGCTGATTTCTCAAAAGAGACCTCGCAGGCAAGAAGGGGCTGGAAAGAACTATTCCAAGTCATGAACACCAAAGACCTACAACCAAGATTGCTCTATCCAGCAAAGCTTTCATTTAGAATGAAAGGGCAGATAAAGCACTTCTCAGATAAGGTCAAGTTCAAGGAGTTCATCATCACCAAGCCCTTATTATATGAAATGTTAAAGGGACTTATCTAAGAAAAAGAAGATCAAAAACATGTATAGTAAAATGACAGCAAATTCACAATTATTAACAACCACACCTAAAACAAAAACAAAAGCAGACTAAGCAAACAAGTAGAACAGGAATAGAACCACAGAAATGAAGATCACATGGAGGGTTATCAACAGGGGAGTGGGAGGGGGAGAGAGAGGGAAAAGGTACAGAGAACAAGAAGCATAAGTGATAGGTATAAAATAGACAGGGAGGAGTTAAGAATAGTATTGGAAATGGAGAAGCCAAAGAACTCATATGTAGGACCCATGGACAGGAACTAAAGGGGGGAATGTGGGTGGGAGGGGCTGTGCAGGGTGGAGGGGAATGAAAGGGGGAATGGGACAGCTGTAATAGCATAATCAATAAAATACATTTTAAACATATATATGAAAATGAAAAATTGTAGCCGTCCTAGTAGATGTGAAGTGGTATCTCATTGTGGTTTTGAATTTCCTTGCTGGCTAATGATGCTTAGCACCTTTGCATGTTCTCTTGGGCGTGTATATGTTTTCTCTGGAGAAATGTGTGGTCATGTCCATGTTTTAAGTGAGTTGTCTCGTTGTTGTGGAGTTGTAAGAGTTTTTCCTACACTCAGGCTTAGGCCTTTATCAGATACAGGATTTGCAGGTGTTTTTCCCATTCTCGGGGTGGCCACTTCGCCTTCCTGAGAGCGCCGTTTGGTGCAGCTTTGAGGTCAGTGAAGTCCAGCTTGTCTGGTTTTCTTCTCTTGTTGTGTATGTTTTTGGTGTTAATAATCACAGAAACCACTTCCAATCTCAGTTCATGGAGATTTACCTCTGTGTTTTCTTCTAAGAATTGCATGGTTTAGGCTTTTGATCCTTTAAGAATTAAACGTTTCCGATGGTGTGAGGTAAGGGGTGCATCGTCATTCTGCTGTGTGTGGCTGCCCAGCTGCCACTCACCATTTGTTGACTCTTCTTTCCCCGTTGAATGGTGCTGACACCTCCCTGAGGTCAGGTATGGATGTGTGGGCTTATTTCTGGGCTCTCAATTCTGTCCCAGTGTGTGTGGTGTGTTATCCAGGCACAAGGTCAGTTTGTGCTGCTCTCAGGAAGCACTTCGCCCAGCGGGAGAGTTGGACACATTCAGAAACCACCAGACACTGGGAGGTGCTGTAAGAGGTAAAGAGTAAGCGTGTCCGAGGATGCAGGAGCGAACAGTGTGCTTCAGGCTGGGCAGAGGGCGTGCAGGGGGGCGGGGCTGCTGGGGGAGGTACAGGCTTGGACACAAAGGATGAATGCAAGTATTTTCGTTCGTCTGGAGACAATTTGCCAAGGTGGGGGGGATAGAGCCTGTGGATGGTCCTGAATTCCCAGGTGAGGACTTGGGGCCCGACTTGGAAGTGTCGGAGCAAAGCTGGGCCTTTTGAGCACCCTCTGGTGGCAGGGTAGGCTGGGTCTGGGTGGGGAGCCTGGAGGCAGGGGAACCACCTGGGATCACAGGGTGGCTGAAGTCTGCGGGAGCACCTGAGTCACGTAGTGGGAATGGTGGGCAGCAGGGGCTTCCAGAGACCTGTGCTGTCCAGCCTCCCTGCTCTGTGGGCAGAGGGCAGGGCAACAGCAGCACTCGAGCAGGTTAGCAGAGGCCGCGGTTGGTTGCCCATAGCATGAGCCTGTACCTCTGATCCCGCTGCGGCCGGCGCCAGGAAACCCACAACAGCCTGCCTCCTCAGCGTTCCCTGCGGGTTGCTCTGGCCCGGTAACGCTGATCGCGGTTTCCAATCAGCCGCCAATTCCTGCATGTCTCAGTTTCTGTGAACAGCTGGTTGGCCAATTCCTGCATGTCTCAGTTTCTGTGAACTCCTGGCACTCCCCTGAGTTCTGGGAGCATGGGAGATGCTTGGAGGATACCTCCTGGTCTGTTGCTTTCATCGGGTGCCAAATACTGAAGCCAAGGCTCCCTGGAGCAGAGAGGGTGATGGGAAGTCCCTGGGCTCAGCTCAGTCAGTGGGGCCAAACTGAGGGCCAGGGGCAGCTGTGTGGCCTTGAGAGAGTGACTTTGCCTCCCAAGAGCAGGGTCTGAGCCCCTTCTCTGGAAGAGAGGGTGTCATGCCATCCCCTTGGGATTATGAGAAACTTCAGGTGGCAGCTCTGGGCAAGCACCTGGCAGGTGGGCAGTGTCCTGTAGAGCCGACTGTTGTCCCTTCCCAGTTCAGTAGCTCAGGGTCAAGCTGAGCATGTGCAGGCATGTTTAATTTGTGGGCTTCTCCTAAAAGCTTTGAAAACTACTGGCAGATATGCTGGTGGTTCTGTCTGGCCTTTCCCCTGCTCATCTTCTCTGTGCCAGAAAACACTCCGGAGGTAGTTCCCTCTTCTCACTCTCAGATGACCCCCCCACCATTGCCCGAGTCCTCAGCAGTCCTCACAATGGTGGTTCGTGACAGGCACCCCCACTTGTTTGGGGTCTTAGCCTCTGCTAGCAGAACAGGGAGTGTGCACAGAAGTTGACAGCTGGTCCCAGGCAGCACGGCGCTTAACCTTGGAGTGGGGACAGGGAAACGTCTGTTTGTGTTTCCACGAATGAGCAGGGACAGCTGGCCCCCAGATAGCAGGTCAGGTCAGCTGGGAGGTGCCTCGGCTGCTGCTTTAAGCAAACAGCCAGGGCCAGGGTCCCTGCCCCAGCTCCGCCAACGCGGGCGGAAGGAGGATGGAGTCCCTGTCGGAGCCCCACAGAGCCACCTGAGGGCTGGTGTCCTGGTCAGGCTGTGCGGTGGCTGCTGGGGGAGCCAGCAGTGTGGGACGCTGCTCCTGGGGACCTGGAGGACTGCCCCTGAGGAACTGGGACTTGACCGAGCAGGTGAGAAGGGGCGGGTTCGTTTTTCTTCCAGAGGCTTTTTTGCTTCAGAGCGTTTTCTCTTGGGCTCTTCCAACAAGCAGCTCACATGTGATCTACAGTCAGATTTCCTCTACACAAACCCTGTTTGCCTGGGAGTTTCCAGACACACACAGATCGCATGCACGGATGCAGGCTTCTGTCTCTGCACTGAGGACACAGCAGTAACACCCCTCACCGCGGGCCCAGCCAGGCGCCCGCAGCCCCAGGAAGACTAGACGTTTTCTGAGCGAAGAACCCAGGGGGCCTGGAATCCTGCCGACGGCGAAGGCTCGATTTCATTCTGATCACCTTTCTGTCAGGCTCCGATTCTATCCCCCGTTCCTTGTTTGTGCTGGAGACCCACCTCCCTCTTTATTTTTAGAGTCTGGCGATTCTTATGGAACATTTCTCAAAATAGTGATTTTAAATGCACAAACAAGTTCCGAAGGAAACCAATTACATCGACTCATAGTTGATCAGGATATATTTTTTAAAAACAAACTTTTGATATAATGATCTGTGTGCTTCTTTTTTTTAATTGATTGATTATAGAATGAGGAAGAGAGGAAGGAAGAAAGAGAGAAAATTCATACCTTGTTCTGCCTATTTATGCATTCATTGGTTAATTCTTGTATGTGCCCCAACCAGAGATCGAACCCACAACCTTGGCATATCAGGACAAAGCTCTAACCAACTGAGCTACCCAGCCACAGCTTCTTCATTGAAGCTTTACGTAAACAGCCTTGAGGTAGATCTTGTAACTATTATAAAGGTAGCGTTGAGCAAAAAAAAAAAAAAAATATTTTGACCTATCTGCAACTCTGCATTGTGATATAAAAATAGCTGAGATTCTACGGATGACCCAGGCACAAGTTCTGTTAATACTGTGGTGTGTTGCTGATATTCATAGATAAAGGAAATAGAAAAGTTCAGTTGTGGGTTAACGAAAATAAAGATATAGTTTGTTCCCATCCAAGTTCACAGCCCACCTGTTAAGAACTCCCAAGTCAAACAATGACAGAAGAGACCGTCCTCATATGTCCTCTTCCTGCCTCGACCATGACAGCCCCGTGTCTCAGGCGGAGACCCTCGCCCTGGCCCTGAGCACCCTGGGGGCCCCAGGGCAGCTTAAACATCCCTGCACACCTCCTCGGGGGTCCACTGGGCCCGCTGTCCCCCACCACCAGGTAGGGCTCTGGGTCCTGTTTTCCCCATGTAGAATGGGGTGAACGGTGGCCCCCCAGAAGGACATGTTGAAGTCCTAACCCCCAGAACCTCCCAATGGGACCTCATTTGGAAATAGCAGCATTGCGGATATAATTAGCTAAAACGAGGTCAGATTGGCATCTCCTTTCGTCTTAATGTTCTATGACGAGTGTCCTTATAAGAAGAGAGACTCAGAGAGAAGGAGGCCAGGTGAAGGCAAGAGACACAGGGAGGTGGCCACGTGGGGTCGCAGAGGCCGGAACGCCCGCGAGATGAAGACAGAGGTCGGCGACGCAGCCGGAAGCTGCGGAATGCCAGGGATTGCCGGCCAACGCCAGAAACCGAGGGAGGAGCCGGGGACAGACACGTCCCGGGCCCTTCGGGGAGAACCCTGCCCTGCAGGTTCTTGGTTTTGGGCTTCGAGGGTCTAGAACGATCCCAAGCCTCCCAGCTTTGGTATTTGCGTCAGAGGCCCTAGGAGACAATATCATGAGACCTGTGAGACCCCTGGGCCCCTCGGGCCCCTCCTTCTTGTGCGCTCCCGGGTCACTCCAGGAACCTGGTTACCCTGTAGCCTTGACTCTGCTATCACCTTGCTTCGGGACTTCTTCTGCCTTGTTTCAGGCCTTCCAGAGATGACAAAAGTGAACTGTGCCTCCGGGACAGGGAGGCAGGGTGTGGAGCTGTTGAAATTGGAGGGCCAGCACTTGAAGGGAGAGGAGGAAGAGTGGGAGCCTTTGCATAGCGTTTTGGCCCGGAAATGAGAAACTGATTTCAGTTCAACAAAAAGATAGGCAGGGGTTGGGGTTGATGGAATGGGTGTTTTAGACGAGGGTTTATTTTCCTGGGGAGAAGACCCCGCCGTGCTAAGCAGGGCCTCCCAGCTGTGTACCAGGGAAGGTCTTCCAAGGGTACAAAAATCAACCCTGCTCAGCCTGCAGCAAACTGGGATGCTAGGCATGTGCCTAGTGCATACTTGGCACTCAGTGCATGTTTGTTGAATGTGTGAGGGTAATGAAGCCAAAAGTAGCTGTTTCTTGTCCTTCTGGAGACAACAGCAGATGCTTAGCTCTGTGACTCAGCGGGGATGTCCCACAACGCAGGCCACAGGGCGTCCAGGGTCTACTGCTCCTCCAAGGGCACCACCGATGAGGAGGGTGGCAGGCGTGTGAGCAGGGGCTGCAGGGCTTTAGAGAAGCCCACCCCAGCGGAGGAATCTCAGCAGAGGGCTGAGGATAGGTAGGGTACCCTCATTTGTGAAACTCTTAACTAAATCCTCCTTAGAAAGGGATCTCTGGAGCCCTGGCTGGTGTGGCTCAGTGGACTGAGCGCTTTGCCTGCAAACCAAAGGGTCGCCGGTTGGATTCCCAGTCAGGGCACATGCCTGGGTTATAGTCCAGGTAACACTGATGTTTCTCTCCGTCCCTTACCCTCTCTAACAATAAATAAATAAATTCTATTTAAAAAGAGAGAGAAAAAAAACTTGAGAGAGAGAGAAAGGAAAGGATCAGTAGAATAAATTCACCGGTAACCCCAAAGCCGCCTCCTCTGGCCGCCGGGCTGTGTCCCCGGGGTTCCGTGCTGGCCGTGCTGGCCGTGCACCTGCCACTTGCTCCCACTTCTTGCACCTGATCCTGCGGTGGCCCCGTCCAGGCCGTTTGTCGTTTTGACACCGCGCCCGCTCGTGCCATTGTTGACCATTCCTCCAGCTGGAGTCCTTTCGAGGTGTTCCGTGGTTGCAGAGGGTGGGAACCACTTGGTGGAGGCAGGTGTCATGGGCCAGCCCTGTCCAGTGCCCGGCCCTGCACAGCGCTGGGAGGAAGGCAGGCTGAGGAGTGAGAGGCCGCACCGCAGGGCCTTGAACCCCAGGCTGGGGAGGCTGGGCATTACTCCACGGGCCACGGTGGGCCCTTGGAGGTGAGCAGATGTGTGCCGGACACCTGCCATGTCTCGGGCACTGAGCCAGCCCGTGGACGCCAAGATGCATCCTGAGAGCTGCAGTCTTCACGGGGGAAACAGAAGCAAAGTCCCCCCGTGAAGTGCTGGGCAGAGGCCAGGGGGTTGGTTCCCACTGGGAGCTGAGCGAGGAGGAGCTAGAGACTCCCCGAGGAGAGTGCTGGGCCCCTGCAGGTAGACAGCTCCACGGGACATGTGGGACGAGGCTGAGCAGGCGAGCAGCCGGAGCGCGTCAGGGTCCAGGTGCCTGGAGCGCGAGTTCCTGGAGCGAGGTGAGACTGGAAGGGCAGTCTGGGCCCCGTCATGGCTGACCTAGAGTGCGGCCTGGGTTTTCGCTTCAGCAGTTGGGGAGCTGCTGTGGGTCTTTAAACGGGGCTTCTAAGCATGGCCCCGCCTAGGCTTTAAGGACGGCCTCTGTGGCTGCCAAGTGGCCGGGGTCAGGTCAGCCCCATTAGGTAGCTTTTGCCACAGTCTGGGCAGGACTTGGGGAGAATCAGAGTGGGGGTGAGGGAGAAGAGTCACCTGAAGAGGCAGATCTGGCGGGGTTGCTGTGGTGGCCAACAGGGTGAGCTCCAGGGACAGTCACCAGGGAGTAGCTTCCTGGGGCTCCTCTCATCTCCGGGTCCCCGGAGCCCTGCCTTGTGCACAGTCAGCCCAGACATGCCGAGGGCCCCTCAGGTTTCAGACAGGCCTCGGGCTTCCTGTCTGCATCTTTCATCCTCCCAGCACGGCTCCTCTCGGCTCCCCTTATCTTGCGGCTGTTATCGTGTTTCCCGTATCATAGTAACAGAGCAGATGTCAGGGCTGTTGCTAAGGGTTCCCTGGCATATTAATACCTGGGAGTAGAACTGACAGCTCTTACAAGTGCCTCTGAGGCCCGGGGAAGCACTGAAGCACGCGGCTGGGTGGCAAGTATTCTTTTATATATTCATCCCTGCTTTTTCTCCCTCCCTTAGACGCCTCGTCTCCTCCCCTGCTTCCCCGCCCCGCCCCGCCTCTGCACAGCTAGGATGTGACCAGCAGCCACTCTCCCCTCCCCCACGCCCAGGGCAGGTGTGACAAAGGGTCTCCCAGCCTTCCCTAGGAAACTAAATGCAGGGCCCGGGGGCCTCTTTTTAAAACAATTTTTTTAAAAGATTCTATATATTTATTTTTAAAGAGGGGATAGGAGGGAGAAAGAGAGGGAGAGAAACATCAATGTGTGGTCGCCTCTCATGTGTCCCCTACTGGGGACCTGGCCCGCAACTCAGGCATGTGCCCTGACTGGGAGTTGAACTGGTGACCCTTTGGTTCACAGGCTGGCACCCAGTCCACTGAGCCACACCAGCCAGGGGGGAGGAAGCCTCTTTTCCAACCTGCACAGGCCTCTTGAGAAGGCCCTGGCCTTTCCCTAGACCTCCCTGCTCTGGCTCTGGCTCTGGCTCTGGCTCTGGCACGTGGCTGGGCAGCTTGCCTTGTGGGTCTCCCGCTTGCCTCCCCACCTGGTCTTTTTGGCCTTTCCACAGCTCACCAGTTTGAAAGTCAAACTCCGAACAGCCCCGGCAGGGGCTTGGCCAGATGCGGAGGTTGGGGTTGGGGTGCCATTTGTATGAGCTGCCTGTTGCCATGATAATGCTGCATAACAACCACCCCCCCAAAAAAAAACTCAGTGGTTTACGACGTTCATGTCTTGCTCCTGAGTCTGTGGGTTGGCAGCTGCTCTTGGCTGGTCCACACATTTCATTCATTCCCTACGTGGGCGGAAGGGTGCTTTTGTTCTCTCGGAGTCCTGCACTTGCTGGCGACTCGGGTTTGCCTTTGTACACGGTGTCCCCTCCCAG